GTTTAAGCTTTAGCTCCGTTTAAAATGCAGTTCAAACATTTTATAATAGCCCAGCATTGCCAGAAAATAATTTCTATTCCAAGTAGAGCGGTGAGTGAAAGTTGTGTGTTGCGCGCACCAGATTTTTTCTATAGTAAATGACAAACAATATTTTAATTTGAAAAATCCTAAATAGTACAGCATAAGTATTCCATGGCAACCATGGCATCTTGAAACCTTTTGGAATAAATTATGGTTTATCTTGATATTGGTAAGTTTTTGGACTTTAAAACGCAATGTTCAGAAAGAATTTAACCTGGTATTGATTACCGCATCGAAATAATTGAAACGCAATGTTTTACATTTCGGTTCATCGACTTTGGAACCTCTTAATTGTTTTAATGACTTTTTTTTTAATATGTTATAATAATTATGATTTAAAATTGGGATTCTTCAGTTCCTCATGAAATTATATTTCCTTCGATACCTCATACATCAAAATCCACTGCTCTTAAGAGGGAAAAAAAGATATAATGCCGTGTAGTGATATATAAAAGATATATTAAAGTGTAGATACTTTAATATCACCGACATACCTACTTCTGTTGAAGTAACATATTTCTGTTTTTAGGTAGACAAGAAACTGATTTCGACGTTTTACATCTACTTACACATCCATATGAAAATCCTTTACTAGAAATATAAATGGTAAAGATAATATGAAATCCACATTGCATTATATTGGCCAGTCTTTCATAATTTAAAGGATATGATAATAAGGATTATAATATGATATGAAGTTTGTAATTTAGTTTTCGGTTAATAAAAAAAAATTAATAGAAGCTTGGAGAAGAGCAAAAATTATGAATATTTCATGAAAGTTAGATGATTGGCAAGCAGGTAATATGCTCACAAAACCAAATTTGTTCTTTATTTCAAAAACGAAAAACGCGAATGGAAATTTCCATTTTGAACAACAATATTTTTATCATCTAGATCGAATATAAAGTTTCCTAATTATCGGAAGTGAGGAAGCACCATATTAAATCAAGCTTTTAGCAATTGGTACCTTATTATCTTAAGATTATCCGCTTATGTGTCGCAATACCTACAGAATTTCCTATAATCGTACTGTCTTAATGGGTATGGTTGTCAGACGGTGATTGAATGTTATTCAATCACTGTACTGCAATACTTGAATAACTTCAGTGCTCGAAACACGCCCTGATGATGACCCACATGCTTGAGTTAAAACTTCGGCACCAATAACAATCATAAAAATGACTTCTTCCTGGCTATTTATCACCTATGATAATGAGAACAGTCGACTGACTCCCTTTAATAATTCATTAAATCGAGAAATCGAGTTTCTATCATATTGAAATTTAAAAAAAAACACTTCATATTCTATCCAGTAGAAAATTTGATTGGTGTGGTTGATGTTACAAATTTACATAAAAATAAAAAGACACTAAATCAAAAGGCCTATATCTGTGAGATTTCATGCTGAAAAGTGTCTACTAAGCCAAGAACGGTGTAATTACGTATTGTAGTTGCCGTCTTTATTTCAATATTGTTCATTTGCCCTGAAGCATGCTTAAGCTCAGAAGCTGTCAGAAGCTGGGTCTGGTACTCCCTAAATATCTTTCCGGAAAATTTACTGGAGTTGTATGAGAACGTTTAACTTGAAACACTTAGGGCAGAAGAGTCAGTTCGTGAATGTGATCTGCGAATCGAAGCCGTTTAATTTAATTTTTCATAGATCTAATGCTCTAAATTAAAAAAATAAAATAATAAAATAAAATCACAATAATAATTATAGAACCTCAATTATACTCAAGCTAATGAACTTTTCGATGACCTTTATTTCTTATCTTCGCAATGACTGATAAAGAAATAATTTTAGCCGTGTATACCTGATAAAGATGTACTCGCTTACTGTTTAAATCAATCCTCAAGTTGAAATTAAATATAAAAATTAATAATAATTTTACTCAGTCACCGGCAGACAACCATTCCCATTAAGACAGTACGATTATAAGAAATTCTGTAGGCATTGCGATACATAAGCGGATAATCTTAAGATAAAAAGTTACCAATGGCTAAAGAAGACAATTAGTAAGTGGCCTGATAGTATTGTCAACCGATGATCATAGAAAATAAAATAAGAGATAGGCTGTTTGAAGCCGACTTGTTTTTTCTATCTCGATCAAAAGACAATTCCATTATATTTTTTTGCCTTACTGTACTCTATCTTGCCTGGCTACTTCTTATTTTTCTTATGGATTAAGTTTGGGCGACTCATTCCTCTTAATTATCTCCCGAGGTAAAACTTGAGATAAAGAGTTTTTTAAAATCCTTCCCTCTCTTTTTATTATTATTTTTCTTCTCTTTTCCCCTGATGATCCTCGCCTTAGATAAGATCCCCCGACTGATAACATTCAGTCCCTGTTAATTCACTTCTTTGTTTTACATAATTAACCAGGTAGGAAAAAATATGATTCCTTATCTGTTTTTCGTGCGTCATAACTAGATAGCGACCACCGTTAGGCAGTGCTAGTAAGTAGGCGCACCTGTACTCAGTTAACTTTTACGGTTCTGGTTTGGTAATAATCTTTCTCTCCTTTCATTCCGAGCCTTATGCCTTTCTAAATATTTTTTTTTTTATTATTGTTGAGATTAAAAATCTTTAAGGAGCTATAGGCTGGTTCAGTGGTTGTGAAGGTTAGCAACAAGATGGTCCAATATATATTTATCACTCCGTTTACTTCTTTCGCTTTGTCTTCCGTTCTTCAAATATGGCTTTCCCTCTTGATTATAACTCATAACCATAAACAACTACTTATGTAACAAATGAAAATCGAGATAAAGCCGTAATAATCTTACTTAACAATTTTTTTTTTACATATGATTTATTTTTTCATATTTTTCAACTACAAGTTTACAATTGCTGTGGGTCTGTAGCCTTGTTACAAATATATATATATATATATATATATATATATATATATATTTAGAAAATCTTGTTTAGTGTCAACTATAGATAACCTATGTACTGATTTTTCTTCTACAAAATAAGATCTTTATTTATTTACCTACCTTCAAAACAAAATCAGTTTTTACAGTTTTTAAGTACAATAAAACACAACACTAAACACTAAATAATTTTAAATAATTGCAAACCGTACCACATGGTTATTTTTATATAACACCATGTGTTAAATGTATGAATTAAATAATTACCTTAAAGGTCGGAATTCGTTAGAACCTGAAGCTTCTTTACTGATTTTGTAGGTAGGTATAGTTTTAAGTTTTAATGTACTATTTAATCTTAAATTGTTATTAATAAAGATCTTATTTTGTTAAATCAAAAGCAGTCTATAGTTTATCTACAGTTAACACTAAACAAGATTATAAATCAGTTTTTATAGTTTTTAAGTACAATGAAACACAATACTAAACACTTAATAATTTTAAATAATTACAAACCATACCATATGGTTTTATTTTTATATAACATCATGTGTTAAATGTATGAATTAAATAATTACCTTAAAGATGGGGATTCGTTAGAACCTCAAGCTTCTTTACATATATATATTAACATATTGCATATATATATATATATATATATATATATATATATATATATATATATACAATATGTTACAAATAAAATATATTACATTTATTGGTAAAAAATAAACATTATGAAAAAAAATACTATTTACAATAAAATAAAATATAGACTATTTTATAGCAGAGTATGTTTCGTTCTCTTATGTTTAAATTTTGTATAATTCTCTATTTCAGTTATTAAGGGATTCAATGAATGGTCTTGAGATTGAAAGAATGGTAATGTTGTTTTGTAAATGTAATCTTATATCTAATTCTGGGTGCATTTTGGAATAATAGAGATCATTATTGTCAATTCTAAGGCATTTATTTTGAAAAATTTGATTTTTTTTTTTATTTTAGTTCTATTAGTAAAGCTCCATATGGGACAGCCTGTGTTAAAATTAGTGTTATTACAGATTTATATAGAATTGATTCATTTTTGGGTGAAACTTTTGATTATTTATTGAAATATAGAAACATTTTATATGTTATTTTTCGAGGGTTTTCTAATTTTGAATTGATCTGCTAATTATAATGAAATTATTTAAATGACTTGGCAAGAAAAATTATATAATCATTTAAGAATATGTTGGGTGGGATTCTAGGACGTCGTTTTGTAAATATAATGGGTCTAATTGTGTCTATGTTGAGTTTTAATCACCATTTGTTAAGGTATTTTGAGTTAGTCTATTGATAATGGTATCTATACATTATGAGGACGAGAATAATGCTGTATCATCGACAAATAGCGATATATTAACATTTTTATTTTAGGAAAGACATTAATGAATAAATTAAATAATATTATACTAAGACAAGATCCTTGAGAGAGGCCAGTAATAGTGTTGTGAATTGGATGCTTTCAAGAACAAGAATGGAATTTTTATTCATCTTACAGATCATATAAGTAAAAAAAAAATTTTTGAAGTTAGGTATAATAATGAGGTGCCTGGGGTCTTTTAAATCCCCGCCCTCGCGCCCAGGAAACCCCCGTATAGTATAAAAGGGGAGAACAAAAAAAAAAGGATTGATCACGACCAACGAAACAGAGGAAATAATTTGTCTACCACCAGCCGGACTCGAACCTGAGACTTCAAGCATTGGAAGTCAGTGCCCTACCACTGAGCTACCCCACTCTCTCAATTTATGAAAATATTATATTAAAAAAAAATTGTCAATAGAAAATTTGTGGTTCGATTTACAAAGTTTCGGAGAGATGCTCTTACTCAAAATATTAATTTCATTTATATTTAATGCAATAAGTCTGGATTTACACCACCTGAGCACTTATATAGAACATTGACTCCAGAGTTGCCTCAGAAATGCCAATATCAGGCAGTAGTTTTCCACCATCTCTGATAACAAAGATAAAACCGAGATAAACTGACAAGTCAAATACATCCGTTCTCTCTAAAATCTAGTTTAATGCAACACAAGATATCACTCGTATCTAGAGAGTTTAATTTAATTATTTTTTTGTCTCTCCCATCATCTTAAACTTAGGTCGTATCGGTCCCTCTGTACTCGAGGGTCCTTTATAGTTTTTTCTATTATTCAGTGCGAAATGTAGTGGCATGGAGCACAAATGCCCAAGGATAGTGATCAATACCTACTCAACTGTTACCAAGTTACTTCGAAAAATTAACGGTAAGTAATTTGTAATATACTGGTTTACTCAGACAATTATTTGAGTCAATGATAAACGTTTTATAAGATTGAATAATAAACACAATAGTACTAATCTAAGAACGATTATCTTTGAAAACCCCATAACATTACTTCATTTTTCTACGAGAAAGTGTTATTCTAAGTATACTTTGGATTATTTTATTATACATGTAAGAATAACATGGATCGAATTTTTTCGATCCATCCCTATTATCACTATGCAGTCATATTTTTTATAATTTTGCTGTTAACAGTTGAAATTATTTACATTCTATTATATAGATCCTTTTCTCAATAATTTCATAGGATTAATTATTATATGACATCTCATAATTAAAAATATTTTCGTTAATTCTTGGTTTTTTATGTTATTATTTTTTTTTACATTATAATATTTTCCTAAAGGTCAATCCTTAAGTTTTTTACATCTAATAATTACGATTTCCTTTTCTTTAATCATATTTGTTGTCGTCAATATTATAGTATTTTTTTATTATTTAAATGTATTTTCGGCTAATAGTGACCAAAAATTCTTTATATATATACATATCTTATATTTTTGTCCACATTTCATGATTCAGTAACAACCCTAATTTAGATGAAGATGGTTTTTATTTAAAATGGGGCAAATAAGATGATCATGACAGACTTGAGATTGGTTTCTAAACTGACAAAACGTTGGGAAAATATAGAAATGAAAATTTTAAAAAATCAGTCCGCGATTGCCCAATCGTTATTATAAATAATATAATTTGGACTTTCATATTATTAAAATATATTGAACTTATTGTAATCCTTTTTCAATAGCACTTTTAAAATGAGATGTAAAAAAAAATAACATTAAAAGTAAAGATTCGTTTTCATAGTCACTTTTTGTTTTGACTTTTTTGGGAGATGTACATCTTTTTCGCACCAAAAGATCATTTTCAAAATTATGGCTCAATTATTGCATTTTATAAAGAATTAACGAAGATATGTAGTACCAACAAAAAAAAAATTTTGAGGAATAATATTCTATGATTGTTACAATACAATACAATTTTTTTTTAAAACATAACTTAAAAATAAAAGTATACACTTACGTTGTGTAATACAATATGTTTGATAGAATTGTTTTGTAGATTTGTAAACACACATTATTTTTTTTATATATGTATAACCTATTGATTATGTTGTAACTTATTAATGTATAATAATTATTATTACATTTTAATCTAACCAGTCAATGCTGACATAGCCTAATTCATAAATTAGGTTTTAACAACTATAACTCTATTTAAGAAACTGATTTATATCAAATTATATTTTGTAGAAATATCAAAATTAACACTTTGGCTGTGTATTTAAAAATATAGATAGTTATTACTATAGATGCATAGTTAAAATAGAAAGAATATTAAAATAAAATTATTAACTTTCATTAAGTTACTAACGGAAAATTGCAGTTCACAGTAAAATCAGTATAGTATCAAGTTAAAAAAAAAACAATAATTGAGGTTATTATTTAATGTTAATTAGTTAATGATTGGTTTTTAGAGACATAATAATAATTTAAATTAAATTAGTTTTTTTTAATTTTAAATGTCTTCTATTGAATTTTATTACATTTTATCACAATTAAGAATGCTAATAATTGTGATATAGCAGTTTATTTACACGATATGTACAATAATTAATAATAAATTAATTCGACAACAGACAAATAATAGCAATAAAAATAAATATATACATAATAACAAGTTAAATACAGGCATACTTATATATATTATTATTAAATGAATAAGTACAAATTTTAAATTAACCGATCATGACTAATAAAAAGCAGTTTCTGACTATCAAGCCATCTTGTGAAGTTATTTCAGTTAATTAGGTATGCGAATGTGAAAATGCAATGTTTATTTGTAGCAAAGTGATGTACATAAATAGCTCATGATAATCTTAATTGTATTATTAAACGCACAATGAATGAAATAAATAAGTAAGAAGACAATGTTCTGGTCATGGTAGAGAATTAATTTACCTTTCTTTCAAACTGACCACAGAGAAAAAAAAATCTGCTCTCACAGTTCATTGTATTGACCCATAGTTTTTATTTAAATATTTAAATCAGTTAATTATATATAATTTGAAAATCACTCTTATATATTCAATAAGCCGACGTTTCGATCCAAAACATCTTCAGGTCCATCTGAATCTGGGAAGATTCTCTAGAAGAATTTGGGAACCGTTATGCCTAGATACAAATGCAGTCTTCTTATCTCTGAGATCCCGAGACATAAATTAATCCTATTACATTCGATAATATAAATCATATATTATATAATACTTATGACGAATGAAGAAGTTATGTTTCAAGTTGTAAATTAGTCCTAATTAAATGCATTAATTCGAAGGAAATGTCATGTTATAACGTCCGTTTTTTCTCCTTTTTTTTCTAGTAATTTTTTATCAGATCCGAAATATTTGGAAAGTAACCAGGACAGTTTTTTTTTTTTTTATTTTAACATGTCCTAAATCAGCTTAAATGTAACGAGTTCTGGAATTTATTTTAATGATCTGCATTTTAATGACATTATAATGGCTTAACATATGCTAAACATCTTTGAAAAATGGGCATTTATTTAATTAACGTTCTCAAATTAAAATATCATTAAATTGAACAAAAGGTATTATAAATTTATTATTGAAAAAAATATTCGATAAGTTGTGCTATATTTAAAATTTGTGAATAATTTATAAAAGTTGTATCTTAATTTGTTTTTTGTGATGCAGCTATAACGTCCCCTGTCGATCACAAAGGACACCAGATCAATCAATGCCAAGGTCGTCTGTTGTGTTATCGTCCAACCCTAAAAAATAAAATTAAAAAAAATAGAAATTGCTGTCAGCAGATATGAAATCATCCGCTTAATGATATGCCATCAATTGTATAGCTCAATTAATATTATTTCTTTTGGTCAACTTCCTAACCCCTGCTGTGCACAAGAACAAAAACTTATTGCTATATGAAAATATAGATTACAATTTTTTAAGAAAAATGTTATTATAGCATTCTCTTGCGAAAAATATAAATTTAATATTATTAAAACTCAGCAATTATTACAATTATTTATAGGATATATATATAAATTTTATTCGAAAAATAATTACTAATATTTTATTTTATTTTCTGTTAAAACAATTATTATTGTTTGAATGTTTATAAAAAAAAAAATTGTATTAATGTTATTCTAGTTTTTTCATATAACAATTACAATCTACTTTCCATTGATTAGCTACATTTTATAAGAATTAATTAGTAAGGAAAAGTATTGCGATGGTGAAAAATTTCGAACCCGAGTCTTTAACAGAAATGTTTATTTTAAGTCTCCCTAACTCAAAATAACAAAGTCTCACAAAATGGTCTAGTGGAAAAATCATATACTTAAAGAAGTTACATTTTTGGTATGTTAGGGCAATTTTTAAAATTTATTTACCGAAAATGCCACTTAACATCATCGCTCCTTCATATTTTTACTTTTTTTTTTAAAAAGTGGCTCTAACGATTTCGACTAAACTCATTATTTTTAATATCAGTTAGGTCTTATCCTCACTCAAGCAGTCGGGTGGGACTTGAATGTATTTTTTTTTTGTCTCTTTTAAATCGCCTGTAATTACGAGTCTTGGTCTTGCGAACTCAGTCTTGATCTAGGTCTTGGTCTTGAGCAAGACTCTTGTAACAGTATTGCAGTCACCTATTACCTTATCACTAAAGATATATTACTATATTTTTTTAGATATAAAAAACCTAACTAAGTCTGAATGAAAAATTAGAAGAGTTTAATGCAAAAGAATATTGGTTACACCAACTCTTTACATCTAGTAACTGAAATTGTCAAGCATTAGTTACTATTTTGCCTCAATTTTCATTCAAAAAATCCATTTTTTTTTTTTACCAGTCTTGGTCTTGCAACAGATAGGCGGTGTGGATCTTGGTCTTGCAAAGTGCAACGTGCAATGTTCCTCCTTCTTCCATTCTTCCATTCTTAAATTGAATCAACAGGTCTCTAACTCTGAATTAATACCTGGGAATGATTAAAGGATTAGAAATGAATTCCACAAACATTATTTTTTTTTATTTAAAAACTCCGTATTGTGATATTATCAAATGCTTCACTATCAAGTTTTCAGATTTAATTAATCAGCTCTCTTTATCTTACTTCCTTCCAGAGAAAATATTCCTGTTCATGATTAAAGTCCTAATCAGTCATGGAATGTGATATGTGATAACAACTATCTTCATAAAAGAAAAAATAATCAAAATAGTTGTTATATTTTATTCCTTAAATCTTTATTACACAAATTATTATTAATATTATTATGTAAGTAACTCTCAGGCCATTCTCATTGGTTCCAAGCCCCTTCTTAGATCCCACACCAACTTTCCTTCACTCTACCTAAACAATCACCCCATCGCCTTCTACGCCTTTTTTAAAAAATTAGGCTTTCTCATAGATCAAACCCTCTCCTGGAATCCTCATATCTCCCTTCGTGCAATTTCTACCCTCAAACTATTCCATCACTTCCGCCATATTCTACCCCAAAATACCCGTAGACTCCTGGTTTCTTCTCTCATCTTTCCCCACTTTGACAACAGCTGTGTGGTGTACGATGGCCTCTCTGTGTAACTCCGTGATAGACTAAAAAGACTTATGAATAGCTTCGTAAGATTTGTAGATGGGACCCCGAGACGCTCCCGTGTCTCCCACCACTACACTGAGTTAGGGTGGCTCTTCCCCTCTTTAAGAATACGATATTTCCTAAGTACGTTCCTTTATCAAATCATTAACGATCATCGTCCTTCTTATGCCTACAACCTTCTCCAATTTAAGTCCTCAATCCATTCCCTTACCACAAGATCTCGACCCTCTGACCTATACATCTCTTCTCATAGATCTCCCTCATTCCAAAGCTACTTATAGCCCGCTCTGTCAACTTTT